AAAAAGTAAATAGAATCAATACATAAAAAAAATTAATTGCAAAATTGTTTTATAATTTAAAGTAATATATATTTATTTATATTTAATAAAATAAATCTATTTTTGAATATAAAAAAAAATATTAAAAGAGTTACTTGATTTGTTCTTAGTTATAGAAATCAATTTCTGATAAAAAAAAATTATATAAAAAAAAAGAAAGAACAAAAGTAACTTTTGAAATTACTTTTCAAGTTATTTCAAACAAATATTAAAATTTTATTAACAAAAAAATAACTAAACTTCTTATAAAAAATTTTTTTTGTATATAGTTAGAAAATTAATAAAAAATTTTTTTTAAATTAATATTTATTTTATAATAATCTTTAAGCAAATACTTTCTTAAAATATAGTATATATTATAATTTACAAGTTATTATTATTTATTATTTTATCAAGTCACTAAAATATAAGAAATTATATAAAAGATGAATTAATAATATGGAAAAAAATATATTTAAAAATATACAATATACTATAAAAAAAAATATTAAAAATAAAAAAATATATTATTTAACTTTTTTTAAAAACTTATATTTATAAAATATTTTAATAAAAAACATTTAATTAAGATGTTATTTATTTTTATAACTATCTAAAAAACTTATTTATCTTAATATAATCTTTTATTTATACTATGTATTGAATCTTTATTTATATAATAGTTAAAATTGTAACATTTAATAATTAAATTATTATCAAATTTAATTAAATTTATTAATAAAAAGATTGGTAAAAATTTTTTTCAATTACTATTTTAGTAATAAAGTTTTAATTAAAAATTTAACAATAAATTATTAATAAAATAATAAATAAAATATTCGACAATAGAATTAACTAACAATATTAATAATTTATAAATAAAATATTTAACAATATAATTAATTAAAATTTATTAATAATTTATAAAAAAATTACTAATAATCTAATAAAAATTTATTCCAAAATTATTTATTAACTATTTAATAAAAATTTATTTTAATTAAAAATTTATCAATAATTTAATAAAAAATAATTCCAATTTATTAAAATTTATTGGTAATTTATCAAATATTTCATTAAATATTTAATAAATTTTATTAATTATTTATTAACTATTTAAAAAAAATTTATTAAACTTTATAAAGAAAATTGATTATATTTATAAATTAGATATATAATTAATTAAGACTTATAGATTAACAATATAGTAATAATATTTTTAAGTCATATTTATAAAGTTTATAGTTTAATATTTCTAAAGACTATATATAAAAATATTTTATAATTAGATTTACTAGTTACAGTTTGTGACAAAAATTTTTGTCCTCTTTTTTTTATTTATTAATATCAATGATAAAAAAAGTTCTTAAAGAAAAAAAACTTATTGTAAAGTATTTAAGATTTATCATATCTTTGAAGTAAAAAATTATAAAGATTTTTTATAATAAAAAGATTTATTTATTTTTTTTTTAATTGTTTTGATTCTTTTAAAGTTTATATTTTTATAATTTTTTAAAAAATTTTATCTACTTTAATTTGACTCTAAATTTTGAATAATATAAATTTTTATTAAAGATAATTAATTAATATAAAATATATTAATTTATTGAAAAATAAATAAACTTCTATTGATTATATTCATATACTTTAATAATATTAGTAATAATATTAAAAAAAAGTTTTAAAAAAAGTTTGTATTCAATTAAGCAAGTTCTTTATTAAAATAATTATAATATTATAAGAAATAATATAATAGTTTAGTTTTCCTTTTTATATAAGTTTTTTAAATAATAAAAAAATTCATTTAAGAAAAAAAATTGGATTCGTTTATTGTTTTTAAGATACTTTAATTCTTGCTTATATAATAGATCTATTTATAATATTATAGATAATAATAAAGAAGAAATGGACCTGTGAATCTATAGCACAGTGATTAGTGCTCCACAGGTCAAATCACAAGATACCAGTTCAACTCCTGGTGAAGATAGCTGAATAGAATTAATATGGTATCTGACGCCATAACCTATAATATGCTGTTTCCCATAAAAAGCCATTTCACATGTTGGTCCAGTAGGCATTGGAATTATGATCTCCAGAAAAGGTGTCGTGGCATGACGATTATCGGTAGGAGCATAATAGTCACCAAGATCAGTAACACAAAGTACTAAGTCCCTCAGGGATCATCGATGAAACTTTAACGAGCGATATAAGCAAACCACTGGTGCTATTCCTATGTAGGAGTTGCGCTCTGCTTGATAAATAACCCCTAGATTTGGCAGCTAACGCCAATCAAGAACCCGATGGATAAGTCTAATAGGAGATTCAGAAGTCGCGTCCCTATTAGTGAATAATCCCTAAGTTTGGTAGCGTGCATCAACCATTAGATGAAGTTCTCGAAGTATTGACTAGGCAGTGCACAGATGAATTAGATCCATTCACAGCTACAAGGACCAAAGACGTGATTAAGAGGTGGTAAGGTATAGAAGGTTATCATGGGTTCTAGTAAGGGGTAGAATACCAGGGTCTAAATTAGGTTAGGTGGTTTAAAACTAGTGGTAGGATTTTCACCTTCTAAAGATCCAACCTAGAATGCGGACCCACCTACTGAGTGTAAGTTGGTATAACCGGATAAGGCTATAGGTGATAGGGGCAGGTTAACTTAGATAGACTGTTATAGTCATATAATGGGTTTAATTACTTAATAAACATGTGCTATTAGCACCTTTCACCTGAAAATAATAATAATAATAATAATAATAATAAAGAAATCTTTTTTAATATTTAAGTTAAAATATAATAATTATTTTAATCAAGCAACTCTTTTTGAAAAATCATTAAATAAGCAAAAAAATCTTTTAAAAATATTTTAAATTACTTTTTTTTTTTTCTTTCTTAATTACTTTAACAATTTGTTATTTTTGAAATAATCAATAGTAATAAATTATTATTAATAATTTTAATAGTTTTGAAATCTTTAATATTAAACTATTGAAAAGTAAAATATTATTCTTTAAATTTAATTTAAAATATTTAATTGAAATTTAGTTTTATAATTCAAACTAGTTTAGTGAACTCTATATTTTTTAAATAGTATAGTTTTTTAAATAATAATATATAATAATAAATTAGTTGTTTTATAAATATATAGTAATTATAAATAAAAAAAACTATAGAACTCTTTCTGCTAATTCCTTGACAACATATAAAAAAGATATTTACAAAAAGTTTTATATTTTTCTGCTAATAAAGTCTTATTACTTTCTCTAAAACAACTTGAAGGATATCTTCTAGAGTTCCTTCCAACTTTCTTTCTTGTTTATACTCCTTTTAAAACAAAAACTTGACTTCTGATAACCAAGAAAAGTTAAGAAACACCTTTTTTACCTATAACAAAAAAGTTTTAAAAAGAAGAAAAACCAATAGTGAAGTATTGAAAGCCTATCTCCTAAAACAAGAGTGCAACTAGAGGTTTTTTGTAGTGGATGAATGGATGAACAAAAGCTTAAACCATAAAAATTTCCTTCCCACTGTTTCTACCCTCTTAGGGTCACTCATTTTTCAGAGTTTTTTGAGGAATTTTATCTACCTCAGCTTGACTTTGAATTTTGGAGTGATATAAAATCGACATAGCTTTTGTTAAAGGTGATTAATTGACACAAAACATGTTGGTAGCAGAATGTAAATAAGCTTCTACTGGTTACATTATGTGTTCCAATGATGTTATTGGTGACAGAAAGAGTTGATTGATACTTCATATCCACCTCACTTCTCCAATTGGATTAATTTACAGATCAAGTACCATAAGACCAATAAGATATGAGCAACAAGACCCCAAGTGATGAAAAAGCTGCTATTTTTTCAAGTTGAGATCTTTCTCTTCTATCATTCTAGTTAGGCAAAGTTCAAGATCAAGGTCTCCCTCTTATTTTGGTCAGATAATAAGACCAAATGGTCTCTAGTCTATGCTAAGCTCCAACTCTTTAATTACAGTTGAGAATGCATTTCCCCAGAAGTTGTTAAAGAATATCAAAATTGATGAGGATCCCCACTACTATCATTAAATTCTCACCATTACAAGGCAAAAGGATTATTGGGGAATTTGACCTTTTGAATAATGGAAGATGTATATCAGTAAAATTTCTTTAATTGGGTGTAACTGTTAGAAGTTATCATATTGAAACAATATGACCTAGTCCTTACTAGGTCACATAAGAACCAAGGGTCCATTATAAGTTATCTCTCTATTATAGATTAATAAAAAATCACTGCTTAAAGAAGGTTGGGACTAAGTGTGTCCTAGAAGTAAAGGCTTCTACTAGGTAATAAGTCTACTCAGATAGTATACAAGAAAGAAATCAAGATCAAGAATGGATAAGTTCTTTAGACGATCAAGAAAAGAAAGGATATCCCAATCAGGCATTTCTTATTGAAAAGAGATCTTGAAAAGTAGGTCTTTGAAGGAAACTAGAAATATATTTTTTATTTTTTACTTTTTCATTTTCTTGTTATCTATTTAGACATTTTTAGATATTTCCTCTTCCCTTTTTTTCAACCCATCCTTTTGTGATTTCCTGTATTCCAGCGGCTTGGTTAGACATACAGCAGTGACAACCTGCTGGCAATTATGCAATGGACTAGGAGGATTTTTATCCAAAGATACTGCAGAGTGGAATATTGTTTCCAAGGACAAACTTAGAGACTTTTATGCTTAAGACGAGTTAGTTAGATTAGAATAATAGTTTGACCGTAGTATGTATCATGCTGCTCGAATGAAGATGTACTTGTGTTTTCAAAAAAAAAAATAAAATACAATAAAATAAAAAATAAAAAAGACTATTATCAATAGCAATTGTGGCTTGGCCACTGCACGTGGTTGTCCAATCACCATTGTATATTTAATACTGTATAATAAATTAGGGTTCGAGAAACATCACTACTAAAAAGGCAATTGCAAACCACTAAGAAAAAAAAATCTCAGAAAAATGCCTTCACCTCCAAAACCTTGGGAAAGAAATCAAGGCACTAATCCAGTCACGAATACAGTCACGTCATCTTTAAATGCGTCAGGTGCTTCACAAGGCTCCGCCGATACAGCACCTGCGGTTCCAACAAGGCCTTCTAACTTCCCCAATAGAGGTATAGTGATAAGTCTTTGTCGAGATGTTTCGTTTAATTTTAAAAGTTTATTTACTACGGTAATGTAATTATATAGGCTACAGCTCTTACGGAACAACAGGTTATAGTCCTTACTCTACTTATAATAATTATGGTGGTGGATACGGATCACCTTATAACCGTTATGGAACATATTCCTCAACCTACTCTCCATACTCTCGGTACGGAGGTTATGGCTCTTATGGTGGATATGGTACAAGTTCATATGGATCATATGGGTCTCCATATAATCGTTTCGGCTATGGTGGTATGATGGGCCCGGGCGGTCCTGATGAAATCTCACTTACCCAGAGAATGGAAGCCAATACAGCCGCTGGGTTTCATATGATTGAGTCAATAGTAAATGCTTTTGGCGGATTTGCACAGATGCTAGAATCTACATTCTTTGCTACGCATTCTTCATTTATGGCTATGGTTGGAGTCGTAGAACAATTTGGAAATTTACGCAATTATTTGGGACAAGTTTTGAGCATTTTTGCTTTAATAAGGTGGATAAGACAATTAATTTATAGAGTTACCGGAAAAAACCCTCCAGTTAATCCTAATGAATTGAATCCTGTTCAGTTTGAGCAATTTCAAGAAGGAAGAAAATATTCTCGCCGACTGTTGGTACTCTTTGTCGTTGCGGTATTAGGTATTCCATATATAATGCACAAATTTATTAAAATAGTCTCACAACGACAACAAATGAGCGGCGTTCCACCGGAGGGTGTCTCTGAATCAATGGTTCCGTGGAAAAAAGTTTCAAATTCGCCTCAAAATCTCGAATTTTGTAGAGCTCTATATGATTTTAAAGGTGAATCTCCCGTGGAGTTAACTTTAAGACGTGGGGACATTATCGCAATTTTAAGCAAAACCGACTTGCGTGGACAACAGTCTCAATGGTGGAGAGGTCGATTGAGAAATGGAGAGCAAGGACTGTTCCCTTCGAATTATGTTGAAATAATTAACAAAGGAGGCAGCAATCCTGATAGCAATGAGGTCAAGGGATTATTGGCTTCCACAAACGAACTAGACCAAAGTAGTCATAATTTCAGTATCAAAGAATTCGAAAACGAATTAAATCAGGTTAAAAACCCGTACTCGAAATGGGAATAAAAAAGGAAATCAAGATGTGCACTTTCCATCTTGTCATGTATAATTAGCAACACTCTTATATTGTATCGTACATGAACAATATACAAATGATTGAATCGGAAAATCAATGTTTTCACCTTTCAATTGAATTTCATATATACGACGGTCAACCATAAAGTTAGAGTTTTTTATGATCTCTTTTCAGCAAAAGTCTTCCATACCTATACGACTATCCAGGTAATAATTATTCACTAAATTATAGTGTTATTCATTCAATTTATTCTCGGCAAAATGGAGGGATAAATAAGACAAGGATGAGGATGAAAGGTGGAACCTCTTGGCATCTCTTTTTTAGGGAAGTCACTTATGGTTCGAACGAATTCCATAAATAAAATGCTCGAGTTTTCGTATACGCGTTGGATCATTTTTAAGTGTGAAAAGAAAAAATTATTACAAACTTGCTAGCCTACATAAGTGAATTATGTTGAATTTCTCACGTTTATATGTTTGTATATTTTTAATTTGCATTTTTTGTCTTCACAATTCACATCTGTATTTGTTTATCATAAAAATAAATCTTTTAATTGTAAACTATCTTAAATATTCGTAATAAACAGTATATACAGTATACAGTATATAGGTAAAACAAATCTTGATTTTGCTAGAATTAAAATAATTGATTTTTAAAGAGATTTGATTAATAAATCTATCTTATTATCAAATAATTAATAAACTGGTTTATCAAATTTTAGCTTTATTGATTTTTAAATCCTTAATTATACAATTAAAATTTGTATATTGTGTTTTATACCTTATATTAACTTTATTTATATTTCTTTAATATGTGATTTTTAAAGTTTATTATTGCTAAAAATTTTTTTTATTTATTAAATATTTGTTTTTGAATAATTTAGATTAGTAGTTATTATAAATTATATAATAATTAATAAAAAAAACTAAAAAATTTTAACAATAAAATTTTAGAAATTATTAATAAAAATTTTTTCTAAAAATACTGTATATATAAAATAAAGTCAACATTGAGACATAATATATATATACTGTAAAAAACTCTTTCCGTTAATCCCCAATTTTTCAAAAAATTTCCTTTTTTGGTAATTTTTTGAGAAAAAGAGAAACCAGTCAAAAAAATAAGAAAAATCACCTTTATAACTAAACAACTTATAAAATCAAGTTCAAGAACTCTTTACAGAATGCGGAAGAGGTAGGTTTTACAAAATTACTAACTTCTACTATATAAATTTTTTTTTAAAAAGAGAAAAACAACAAGAAAGACTAAATCGCAATTAGCTCTTAGAAGCTAAACATCAACCTCACAAAGCTCCTAATTAGGACAGTGTAGGTTAACATCTTTTTAGACACTAAGAGAAGCTTTACAAGCAATAACTCAAATTGATAAATCAGTTCAAGTTCAAATATTCATAAAATCTAAAGGGACATTCAAGCTTTATTGACTATATAGTAAAGAAACATACATATTACAATAACAGCATTTCAATAATATTATATCATGCAAATACAAACACATATATTTTTTATAACAAGCTCAAAAAACGTATCAAATAAACAATGTTAATACACTTTCTATATATTTATACAAATCAATTATCAACAAACCTATAACTAATAATAGATTCCTAAAATATTATATTTAGTATATAAAATTTCGCAGATCACTTACTGTATGTCCCCTTTTAAGGGACAAAATTCATAGCTCTTCACTTTAATAGGGACAAAAATCAGGAAATACTATAAATCAATGATTTAGATAATAGAGAACAATTGTAGGTAGTTTTTTTATAATTATTAATTTAAAAATTTTAATATTTCCTAGTGAGGGACATTTGACTTATGTCCCTGCCTCCCCCTTTAGGGACCCATCTTTACCCATAATCCCATATGTTTATTATTAACTGATCAACAATATTAACAATACTATCACAATATATATGTAAAATAAATATTATCAACACATCACAATAAACAATAAGGTTTTTTCCTATTATCAAAATAATAATAAGGAATAAACAAATTTGTAACATGTATCTAAAAAAACATAGCAATGATCATCAACAAAATACAACAATATCAAACACAGTCAACTTACTTTCTATCACATGACCAACATGTTTATGAGAAAACACAAACTTTTACAGGTCACCAAAAATAGAGAAGCACATATTATAGAGATCTTAACTCAATTATCAGATAAATATGATTAACAATAGAAACTATGGACAACACAAACCCTCCTTAATATTACTTCAATTCAAGAAGTCATAATGAACTCCATCTTAAATCCAACCCAATACTCAATTATAGATAGTATTATTGCTAGAATTCTAAATATCGATCATATTACCTTTATCAAAGCCAACGTTCTTAGACAATATATTCTTTATCTATAAATTAAAGAATAAGGAAAAGAAGAAAATCTTCTAATTCCATTTTTAGAGAATAAATATTTGAGCATAATAGAACAAGCCGAGCAAGCACAATACTCTTTGCAAAATATTATGTCAATTCAGACAGCACCTGAAAATAATCTTTCTATATATAACTCACCAGATAAGACGATTACTATAGAAGTTCAAACAATCACAACAATTAAAATCTCAAATATTATTGAACTTGAAATAGAAAATAAGAAACTCGAAGACATAATAGAAATAAAAGTTATCAATGAGAAGATTAAAGGAGACAATATAGTTGCCAACATATTGTACATATAAGACAAGAAATAGATTAAAGACATCCAGTATCAATCTTTTTTATATCAATGTGTATAGTAAATATAAAATGAATGTGTTCACTTCCAGGCTTCTAGGAGAAACTGAAACAAAATAAATAACATATTTACAAAATATATTAGGCTTGTTAAAAGATTTTCAACCCTTCAAAAAAGAATTTATCAATGGCAATGTATGGACAATATTTTATTGCAAAGAGAAGGAAGATACATTACAATGTCTTGAAAAGATTAACAAAAAAGAGGAAGAAAACTTTACTATTATATCTATAGATAAAGATAGGTCTCTAAAGGGGGAGGCAGGGACATAAATGAAATGTCCTTCACTAGGAAACATTAAAATTTTTAAATTAATAACTATAAAAAAACTACCCACAATTGTTCTCCATTATCTAAATCATTGATTTATAGCATTTCCTGACTTTTGTCCCTATTAAAGTGAAAAGCCATGAATTTTGTCCCTCAAAAAAGGACATAAGTGATCTGCAAAATTTTATATGCTAAATATTTTAGGGACCTATCATTACCTATAGATATAGAGAAATGGTCAAGCTCTATTCAACTACTAAATATTTAGTAAACAAAAGATAAAGAAAAAACCTTACTGGTGATTACACTTATAAATATTGTTCAAAATCATCTATGTCAAGAAATAGATATATAACAAACATTCATATTTATAATTATTCATAATCATAACAATGAATCAAGACATATATTACCCCTTATAAGGAATATATCAACCTTAAGGAGAAATGGATGATTCATACTAACACAGAAACTATTAGTACTATCTTTACCTGAAATGAGCCTGATAATAATAAAATTAATAGAATTATCAAACAGCATAATTCACTATCATTATGACTAATGATGGGTCCCTAAAGTATTTAGCATATAAAATTTTGCAGATCACTTATGTCCCTTTTTGAGGGACAAAATTCATAGCTCTTCACTTTAATAGGGACAAAAGTCAGAAAATGCTATAAATCAATGTTTTAGATAATATAGAACAATTGTGGATAGTTTTTTTATAGTTATTAATTTAAAATTTTTAATTTTTCCTAGTAAGGGACATTTGACTTATGTCCTTGTCTCCCCCTTTAGGGACTCATCTTTAATTATGACTATATAAAACATATAATATTACCACTGGTTTAATTATATGAGCAGTCAAACATATCAAAGTCAAATTATATTACATTCCTAGAAATCCACATACATTAAAGAGAAGAGGCCATGCAGTAATTTGCTTCTTATCAGTATAAAATTTGAATAATGCTTTAAAATAGCATATATTTATTCACAGTCATAAACTCACTTGAAGTGCTAGAGAACATTTTAAACAAGAACAAAGTTCTTCCCAAGAAAGACAAGATTATATCAGCAAGAGTGCTAGGAAGCATATTGAAAAAAAAATAGTATATGATAAAGAATTGACTTATATAGAAAGTAGTAAAAATAATAAAGAGAAAGTTTATTTCAAAACAATACACGACAAACTTTATTTAAGACAATTGGATCAAACTGATATAAAAAACAATATTAGGGTCAATTGGTATACAACATCTGAGGACGAAACAAAAATTGAAAGAGATTTTAAAAAAAGAATAGATCTAGAAAGGAGGAAAAAAAGGAAAAGATGTAATTTTTAAAACAACACATATACTACTAGAACAATAGAACCTTCTTAATATTTTGTCACTGGTAGTAACAGGGAGTCAATAAAACATAGTTATAGAAAATGTTGATATAATAGATATGAAAGTCCTTATTTCGGAAGTAAAAGTGATCAAGATTCCCTTTACTAGATCCTAAACAATCTTAAATAACTAAATAATGGAATAAATTTAATTGAAGAAAAAATAGGCAGTCAAATAGGGTAAGAGGAAGGTGATGGAACAATCACTTCTAAAATTAGTACCAGTCCAATCAACATTATCAGGAGTGAGTTTGATTCACAAGAAGAGTCAAGCTCATTCTAGAGAAAAGGTGCAATCTCAAAGGAAACAGCAAACATCAACACAACTTCTTCTTATATAACACATAATACATTATTGAATGACTTTATTAGTATACTAAAAAAGAATACTATTAATAGAATTGAAAAAGAATATATGCTATATAACAAATATACTATAAATAACTCTTTACTAGCTAATATAATTTCAATTGGAATATACAATGTCAGAGAGATCAATACTAGTTTGGATCAACAAAGACTATACAAACTCTTATAAAAACTGGATAT